TGAAGAAATGGAGGTTCGACAAGAGGAAGTGATTGTTCCTCAGGCATGTAGTAAGGATTTGGAGCTGGGGCGGGGGGGGGGGGGCGTGTTAATTCTGGTAGCCTCTTCAGAGGAGCCAAGAATGGAAGTGAAATCAGCCCCTGCCCTTATGATGCTCTCAGTAGAGTAGACAATGAGTAACAGATACAAATCTGCAAGTGAGGACCTTGATAGGGGAAGTGCAGGTGCTGTGGGTCCTCAGAAGTGGAGACAGCACCCCAACCTGAGCAGTCAGGGGAGACTTCCTGGAGATGATGATAAAGCTTTCTGCATGGCAGAGGAAGTCCCAGGAGCTGGCTCCCACCACAAAGGCAGCTCAGAGGTCAAAGGCCTTGGGGACCTTTTCTGCCAGCCTCACCAATGGTCTGGAAGTTTTTACACTGTCACCTTTCTGCCACTAAGTGGAATCAGGTCTCACTTGTCCTTCAGGAGGGAAGGACATCCCAGCACCTGGGCCACTCCATGAGCAGATATGGACATTGGCGAAGTAACCCGGGCTTCTCATTTCTTCACAGCCCTCCCCAAAGCCAACACATCACAAAGATCTCCTCACTTGGGATCAGTGGGTCCCTAGTGTTGAGGGTCATCACTCAGTATCCACAGGAGCCTGTTACTCTTGTTCCTGTGTAATGGAGATGCAAAAAAGATTACTCAAAGCAACATGAATGCAATGAGAAGCCCGAAGGGACTGCACCTCAACCACTCCTCTGTTAGAAGGAGAAACTGGGTACAGCCCCAATTCAAAGTTAGCTTCTGCTTTTATTGTAAAGACAAGGAAGTTTCACAAAAAAAATCAATTGATTCAATCATTTTAAAAGGACACAAAGGGGCCGGCCCGGTGGCGCACTGGATAAGTGCACCGCTTGGGAAGCGCGGCGGCACTCCCGCCCGAGGGTTCGGATCCCACATACAGACCAGTTCCCGCTCACTGGCTGAGCGAGGCGCGGGAGCGACACCGAGGGTTGCGATCCCGTTGCCGGTCCCCGGTCCGGTCCGGGGGCAACACTGAGGGGTGCGATCCGTTGCCGGACACGGAAAAAGACAAAAAAAATAAAAATAAAAGGACACAAAGGGGCCGGCCCGGTGGCGCACTGGATAAGTGCACCGCTTGGGAAGCGCGGCGGCACTCCCGCCCGAGGGTTCGGATCCCACATACAGACCAGTTCCCGCTCACTGGCTGAGCGAGGCGCGGGAGCGACACCGAGGGTTGCGATCCCGTTGCCGGTCCCCGGTCCGGTCCGGGGGCAACACTGAGGGTTGCGATCTGTTGCCGGACACGGAAAAAGACAAAAAAAATAAAAATAAAAATAAAAGGACACAAAGACACGGGCAATATGACAAAAGTTATTTACAGTTAAGTATAACTTAAACAATAGCTGTAGGCCATTGCCTCCTAGCTAAGAACTTTTGTCCTGTAGGACACAAAGACACGGGCAATATGACAAAAGTTATTTACAGCTAAGTATAACTTAAACAATAGCTGTAGGCCATTGCCTCCTAGCTAAGAACTTTTGTCCTGTAAGTTTTTTAGCTAAAGAGCCCTGTCTAAAAATCAGATGAGAATCAAGATTTCTAACCCACTACAGGAGGCAACAGTCTCTGCTGCTTCTTTCACTGCTCCTGCCCCCCTCACCATCTCTCCCCTTGCACCTACACACACTGCCCTCCCCACAAGCCTGTTTGGAGCCACAGCCCTGCCAGGTCTCTCATGTAACTGCCCTGAGCTTCTCTTCTGCAGCACCTTCCTGGGCAAATCTGCCCTGTGTCTCTCATGCCCCCTTGTGCCCATTCTGAGAACTGTAAGGCATCTTGTGGCCCCTGCAGGTGATGGCAGCAATTGCTGGCCACTTGGTTCTTGCAACAACACAATTAGGCTTACTGGAAGCTGCTGTATAGCAGACCCTGTGAAAGGCAGTCCCAGTTTCCTGAGACTCAATCATTCAACACATATCTAATGGAACATTCTACCAGTGTAGTAGGGGCTATACTGGGCACTTCTGTGTTTATCAACTTTATTACAACCATACATCCATGCATCCATCCACTCTGCATGCATTTACACATTCATATATGTAACTTTTAAAAAATTAGGACCCATCATGTGCCACATGGAGGCACATAATCCTCCAAACATCCTCAGCATCAAGATATGGCTTGACATGTGGTAGGCTGTCAATAAATCAGTGTCAAATAAATGAATGAGTGAGTTAATGAATGATGGTAGAAGTTAAAATGTTTGGTAGACACTCCATTCAAAACCTGTTTTGCTCTATCATCTCCCAGTCTTCTTTTTGGCTAACTAGGGCTTCCTTGGTTTGTACCCTGTCAAAGTTATTCTAAAGTGGAAGACTGGGGACAAGGAGTAGAATTAGGAACTTAGTCTCTGGTCTCTGGTAGTTTATTAGCCATGCACTCCATGCTCCCACTTCTTGGTGCTTCTAGGACCTATCAGCTGAGATGCAGGCTGTGATAGAGGTAGCTACATGTCACCAAAACCCATTTTCCCTATGGACTCAGAGCTGAACCATATTTCTCAGCCTTTCTTGCAGTTGGGTGGGGCCAAATAATGGAATTCTAGTCAATAGAACACAAATAGAAGTGATGTTCACCACTTCCAGGCCAGGACCATGAACACCATCCAAGGAGGTGATATTCTGCCTCATTACCTCAACTGCTGGCCAGACACAGAGGCAAGAACAGGTGGCTCCAAGATCCTAGAGAAGGGTAGAGCCACAAGGTGGAAGGAGCCTGGGTCCCTGAGAGGCTGTATGGAGCAGAGCCTCCTACCTCCACCCTCTGACTGCCAAGTGGGCTTTACATGAGCATGAAATAAACTTGACACACAAGCACCATTACCTTTGCAGCTGATGGGCTCTAACATGTTGCTCTCATAAAACAGCTTCAACTGTGGGGCTTTCTTAACCTCAAACTCCTGCTGAAGCTCCTTCTCTACGGTGATGTCCTCTTTGCCAAAACTGAGCCTATTCTTGCCTTTGCCCATGATCCCCATGGCTTTGCCCAGCCCCTCAGCCATGTTCCTGGATTGCTTTGAGGATGGGTTGTCTGAAAGAGCCAGTGTAAAGATAGAACTCCCAGGAGCTTCTTCCCCCTCCCCATCTCCCAAGGTAGACTCTTTGTTTGGCCTGCTTAGCTCCCAGGCCTTTCTATTGCTCAGCTGCTAATGGGTAAGTTTTCATAAATATAACAGAATGTGAGACATATTATGAAATTAGACAATTTGGAAGATGTCCACCAGGGTTCTTTAGGTTCAGTAGTACTGGAAACAATACACCTTTGGGAAACTTAATCTCTCTAAGCTCCACTTTTCTCTTGTGTAGAATGGGGAAAATAATATCGGCTACCTCATGGAGTTGTCAGAGTTAAATGAAATTTATTTAACAGTTTATATAGTGCTTATTATTTTCCAAGTTTTAAGTCATTTACCCCTCTCAGTAACTGTGTGGGGTGGGTATCATTATTATTATTTCAATTTTATAGATGAGGAAACTGAGGCACAACAAAATGACCTACTTGCCCAAGACCATATGACTGTGGAGCTGTAGCCAGGATCCCAACTCCCTCAGTCTGGTGGCAGAGTTTCCACTCTCTCACCTCCACTAGGCATGTAAAATGCTTAGCATAATGCCCGGCACATGGAAAGGACATAAATAGTAATTCTTGTTACTATTACTATTTCTGTGGTCAGAAACTGGAGGGGGGGGGTTCATGAGCGCCATCTGGTGGAATGTCACAGGTAAGGAAGGCCAGGTGTGGCGGGGGTGAGGGGAGGTGACAATGCTTCCCTGTCTCCTCTGTGCACACCCCCTTGGAGAGAGATGTGACCCTCTCCATTAAAAGATCTGATGCTCTGGTTTCCTTGGCCCCTCACATTGCTGGGCAGTGAGGTGGGCGTTGGGGAAGCCGTTTTCTGGAAACAGCCTCAGGGAGCCAGCAAGTGACCTTGGCAAGTAGGCTTTCTGGCTTAATTTCTGGCTTAAGTGGAAGGGTACTAAAAGGTATTCAAGTCTGCCTTTCTTCCTCCTGGTAACATTGTGAGGCTGCAGGTCCCTCACTGCCCCGTGTCTGAGGCAGGTGGACCAAGCTGAGGCAGGGGCTCATTGATTCCTTTTCAAGCCAGAACTCTTATCTTTCTGAAACCCAATTTCCATCTGGAGCACTTCAAAAAAGTGCAAATCACCTCCACTGCTGAGGGCATGTTCCAAGTCTAAGAGAGAGGTCTTTTGTAAAGCACAGCCCAGAAAGCTGGGCCCCGGGACAGCTGGCACACACCCCACTGCCAGGAAGCCCATCTGCTCCTGCAGTGGAACCCGAAAGTGAATGATTGTTTTCATTAAACTCCCAATCAATGGATGGGAAGTGGGGACTTTGCGCCTCTCTTGTAGATCGATGCCTCTCCACGGCCTGCTTTATCACCATCATCGCCTTCGATACCATCCATCATCAGCAGTGGCAGGAACTGGCTTTCTGCCAGCCACTCTGGTCCACAGGCCTCTCCCTGGCTTCCTTGTGGATTTGGCCATGCTGAGCTCAGGGTTCCTGATTGACACAGCATCCAAACCTGAATTTCTAAGGGCAGAAGCTCAGGGCGAGAGAAACACTTGGAATGATTGTCCAAATGGTGGAGCTTTTAGAGGTTTCACACAAAGTCCAGTGCCCCTGAGTGTCCGAAATGGAAATGAGAGAAAGGAGTTGTGGCAGCTGGAATGCTGCGATCTGAGCACTAGATGGATAAGACCTAACAGTAATAGTCATGGGGATTCATTCATTTATTTATTCATTCATTCATTCAACGAGTCATTTCTAGGATATGCCATATTCCAGGCACTATTCCAGGTATTGGGGATATAGCAGTGAACAACCAGATAAAAATCCCTGCTGTCACTGAAGAAGGCAGAGTATTGGGGATATAGCAGTGAACAACCAGATAAAAATCCCTGCTGTCACTGAAGAAGGCAGAAAATAAACAAAATAAAGAAATAAAGTATATGTTGTGTTAATATTGTGCTCCATAAATATATACAGTTATTGTGGGTCAATTAAGAAAAATAAATCACAGGCCTCTCCCTGGCTTCCTTGTGGATTTGGCCATGCTGAGCTCAGGGTTCCTGATTGACACAGCATCCAAACCTGAATTTCTAAGGGCAGAAGCTCAGGGCGAGAGAAACACTTGGAATGATTGTCCAAATGGTGGAGCTTTTAGAGGTTTCACACAAAGTCCAGTGCCCCTGAGTGTCCGAAATGGAAATGAGAGAAAGGAGTTGTGGCAGCTGTAATGCTGCAATCTGAGCACTAGATGGATAAGACCTAACAGTAATAGTCATGGGGATTCATTCATTTATTCATTCATTCATTCATTCAACGAGTCATTTCTAGGATATGCCATATTCCAGGCACTATTCCAGGTATTGGGGATATAGCAGTGAACAACCAGATAAAAATCCCTGCTGTCACTGAAGAAGGCAGAAAATAAACAAAATAAAGAAATAAAGTATATGTTGTGTTAATATTGTGCTCCATAAATATATACAGTTATTGTGGGTCAATTAAGAAAAATAAATTAAAAAGAGAGAAATAGAATAGTGGTTACCAGAGGCAGGGAAGGGGAGGGGGGACAGGGGCTGGAGAGAGGTTGGCAGACTGGTGCAAAGTTACCTCTGCCTTAAGGAAAAGCAGTAATGACCCTAGACAGCTCCTAATAAATCTTATCTTGGCCTCTCCGTACTAAAGATAGTCTTTCCTTTTTTCCTTGACTCATTCAAGTTAATTTTGAAGAAAAAAACCATGGGCCATTCATTCATTCACTCAACATCTGTGGAGGATGCCACGTTCCAAGCACAACACCAGATGTTAAGAATCAGGAGATGAGTAAGACCTGCCCCCATGGAATGTGCAGGTTTAAAAGTAGTTTTGATACCATATGGCAAATGCTATGGAAGGGAGAAGCATGGAGACTGTGTGAGCACATGGGAGGCCCGGACAGTCTAACTAGGAGTGAGGTTGGGCATGGCCTCCTGACAGGAGATTAAACCTCACAGTCCAGGTAAAGACGTAAAGGAAGAACTGGAGATGGCAGAGAGATTTAGAAGGTGGCATCAACAAGACAAGTTAATGGTTTAGATGCAAGAATAGAGAGGAATCAAGAGTGACCTTGAGGTTTCTGACTTTGGCACTGAGCAGATGCTGGAGCTGTTGGTGAAAGCAGGACCTGAGAAGAAGCAGGTTGTTGGGACCAAATCAAAGATGCTGAGGTCTGTTTTGGATACAGGTGGCTTTGAGACATGCAAGGAACACTGGAGAAAAAAAGTCCCACTGCCCACTGGCTCTTAGGCCACCTCAGAGAGATGAGAAACTGAGCAGCAGCTGAGGATTTGAGGATTACTGGGGCAGTCCCTGTGGGCCATGCCTGAAAATCCCTTTTGTGAAGCGCCCATTTATCCTTGGAAAAAAAGCTTTTATAATCCTTTCCCCAAGCGATTAGTTTTTCCAAAGGTCACTTCAGAAGGCCTGCCAATTTTTGAGAATTCATTTTGATTTAAATTGTGTATTGGCAGGAGTCGAAGATTCAAATTTAATGATTTTAATTGAGTGTCTCTTGTAGATAACAAAATCTCTGCTGGGGTTGAGTTCACTGCTTTCAAATACCAGCTGGTGGGAAAGCTTTAAGTTTAAATTATTTAAATTGACTGTTATCAAATGCAATTAAAGAACGTAAAATTGATTGGCCCTCTCTGTAGCCCCAGGTTCGGTGTCAATCCCTAAGTTATAAGACACAATGAACCATGAACTCACCCTTCCTCCAGTCTAAGACATGAGGGGCAGCGGCCAAGCCAGACAGGCTGCTCAGCTGCTGCAGCTGGAAAGATTGTTTCTGAGGACAAGTCCTAACCACTAGTTCTGCACCTTGGGGCACCCAAAGTACAGAGTTTAGACTATTTTAAAGACATGCATAGCATTTGCATTAGTCCATTTCTATTGCTTGTAACAAGATACCTGAAATTGGATAATTTATAAAGAAATAAAATTTATTTCTTACAGTTTCAGAGGCTGGGAAGTCCAAAGTCCAGGGAACACATCTGATGAGGGCCTTCTTCCTGGTGGGGTGGCTCTCTACAGCAACTCAGGGTTTCACCTGGTGAGAGTGGGATGAGCAAGAGAGAGCTAAGCTTCTCACTGGCTCTCCTTACAAAGCCGTCAGAACCACGCCCATTACTCTGTGAATGGATCAGTCCCTTCACAAGGGCACAGTCCTTACAATCTAATCACCTCTTGAATGCCCCACCTTTCAATTACCAAAATTGGATTTCCTCTTAACACTGTTATAATGGGCATCAAGTTTCCAAAACATGAGCTTTTGGGGGACACATTTGACCCATAGCAGCACTTTTAAAAAAAATTTTATTAATATTACTTTTTCACATTCTATGATGTTATTGTAGAGCAGTTGGGAGGGAAACAGAGAGGGGAAAGGGGAAGGAAATGGGATGGAAGAAGGAGAGAGGGGGAGGAGAGGGACTGAGGCCTGTGGCACCCCCCACATTCTCACAGGGGAGACCTGTGGGCTTTCAGCAGTGGCTTGGTCATTGCCAGGCTGGGTGCAAATGTCAGGGAGGTGTAGCAATAGCCCTCACTCCCCACCACACCAGCTGAGGAACCTGGGGCCCTTCTTGCTGAGGCTTGCTGATCATCACTGGGCTGGCTGAGCATGGGGGTGTGTGGCTGAGATCCTCAGCCCCCACTGGGGTCACCTCCTGTGGCTGCTCGGTGGTCATCACTGGGTGGTTGCTCATGTGGGGGGGGATGGATGAGGCCTTCGTCCCCCTGTCACCCCAGCTCAGGAGAGCCCAGGGTGCCTCTTGTGTTGGCTTGGTAGTCATTGCTGGGCTGGTTGCTGGTGTGGGGGGATGCCACAATGCCCTTGGCCCCCCACTGCCCTGGCTCAGGAGATCCTGGGGCATTTTCTGCGGCAGCTTGTTGGTCGTTGCTGGGGTGGTTGCACTTGTCAGGGAGTGTGGCTGAGGCCTTCAGCCCCCATCCTCGGGACT